GCGAGAGTCGAGACAACGTTATGCACTTTATTGTAGGTGTTTAGGGTTATTTAGTGGATTTGATCTTGTTTGGCTAAGAAATGAAACAATAAAATGGGTAATTGGGTCAAAAATTAAAAAATTAGAAATGAAACAAATTATTAGGCCAAAAATTTGGATTTAGAAATTATTAATTTGTTAATTTGTTTAGAAAAAATTAAAATTAAAATAATTTGATTTACTCAATATAAAAAAAATTAGAAAGATTCGGTTCTTATTCGGTTCTTCGGTTCTTGGTCTAGAACCGAGAACCGAACCGTACCCGTCGGTTCTCAATTCAGATACCCGTTCGGGTATTTAATTTGACAAGAACCGTCGGGTTCGGATCGGTTCGGTTTGGGTTCGGTTCGGTCGGTTCGGTTCGGGAGATTTGCCCAGCCCTAATGTGTTGTATGAAAATCTCACGTGATAAGTAACGATCGTTATAAAAATTACAACTCAGTCAAATCATTCAAGTAAAATATTTTATTGCTTACGCAATTTATACTATGATCACAGTTTACTTACCAAACTTTAAACTATTTCCCAATGATCACTCATCTTTAATTCCACTCCATTCATCATCAACCAGATTTCATTTCCTTCATCATCAACCAGACTTCGTTTCCTTCGTTATTTCCTTCGTTATTGATGTGTTGTACGAAAATTTCACATGGCAAGTTATGACTGTTAAAAAAATTACAATTCAACCAAAACCTACCAGCTCATTGAAATCGCCATATGTAAAACACGACTTTAAAATAATTTTTACCCTAATTGTTAGTCTCCAATTCAACCCCAAAAATCGCAACCCCTAATTCACCCGTCTCACCAACATATAGCTAAATTGTTTGATGAGATGGGCTATTGTTGAGAAAGATGCGGGAACCTACTATTTATAAAGTTCTATACCCCAATTGTACCATCTGTCAAGCATCTCTCTAATCCCTATCTTCTATTTAATTGGCATGTGACCGACATTCGAGGAATGAAATGTTTGGGTGGTGCATTAGATGGTTAGGAAAAAGTCAGTATTTGTTGAATAAAAAGTAGCATAAGTTGAATTGAAATTTCAAAAGAAAAGATGGTAGGTGTAATTTTCACAACAAATAATCAATTAAGAAAAAAATGGTTACGTAATCTAGCAAAACTTAATAGCAAAAGAGGCCAAATAAATACCCCCATAATACAATAAAGAAAAAGAGCAATAGAACAAACTACAAGCAACAGTCCACAAGTAACTTGGACAACATTAAAATTTACATATGATGATACGAATATCTACAGGAGACAGAAACTAAAATTAAAACAGAAAAATATTTGAAAGGGATGTAGACAGCCTAAAACCAACTCAACCCAGACCAGCTTCATAACTTAACCCACGATTTCAGTTGAAAAGCACATCCATTCCTGTGACACAATAATGAAACGATAATTTCTTATCCGTCATGACAAGATATCGATATGAACAAGATGCAGAAAACCCGACTCAAACCAACTATGATGAAACGAACAGAACAGGAGCTTTGCTTACACACAACTATGAGGCAGGGCATAATATTTTCCTGTCTTGAATTGGATTCCGGCTTCTTCATTCTTTTTACTTGTTGAAAAGAATGTGATTCATTTGAGATTTCCCATTAAGGGTCCTCCGTGCATCCTGCCTTCTGGAAGATCAGAATTATTCGAGCAAAGATTTCCAACCTGCGGTCGGATTGGCATAGAAATCGATTGGTATCCATAGCCAATTGAAGGAGTCCCATGTTCTATAGTTTCACTGAAATCAAAAAGATTGTGTTCAGATGCAGAAGTCCATTTCATCTGTGCAAATGTACAAGAATGTGGATTCTGTGTGCTAGAAACCGTTATATCATTCTCGTGGATCTGTTTATTTTCTATTTGAGCACTGTGTTTATTGCACAGACTAGATTTCCTGGTAGCGAACTTGTCACATGAACTGGCACCTTTACTGCCAAATTCTGAACCTAAATGTCCCCAAGTGCATCGTTTACCTCCACCGTGTGCTTAGCAAAAATCAGCTCTACATTGTGCACTCTTTGTACATCCTTTGAGCTTGCACCTTTTTCCACCACCATGACGAACACAAAAGTTGGTGCACCCTCTTGCACTCTTGGTACACTCAAGTTCAGTGCATCTCTTGCTGCCACCATAACTAACACAAAATAAAGTTCCCACATGGTCGATCTTTGTGCACCTTTTAAATTGAAATCTTTTGCCCCCGTCATGACCTTTACAGAATGGAGTTCTCCTGTCTGCACTTTTTGTGCACCCCAAAAATGTGCACCTTCTGCCACCACCGTGAACTTTACAGAACATTGACCTCCATGTGCCTTGCATTCGGCTCCCTTCTGACAGCCAGCTCTCTTACACCTCCTCCCACCTCAATGGGCAATACAGAGACCAACAGCATCTCTTGCTCCCTTTATGCATTTTTCAAACTGGCAGATTTTCATGCTGGTTCTCCTTTTCTGTTGTTGATTAAACAATCCAAAAGTACCGGCAACTGACCTAGCTGTCATTGCTGCACGGAATGGAAGTTTAGGGGTCACTTGAATAGGATTGCCAGAGCAATGGATATGGTCAACAGGAACAAAATTAGCAATATTTGGCAATGTAGAAACATAAAACCCAGTTTTCCACTGAGATGGCATTGACTCTTCATCAACAACTTGAGGCGAAATGACAAAGGCTGGTGACTCAGAAATCTTCCCATAAGGACTGAACCCTTGAACAGCAGTGAAAATAGATTCAGCAGGTCCAGTAGACAGACTTAATTCGAGATCTAATTTAGGCCTCCTTACTTCAAGTGCATTTGAAGTCCCAGAAGATGCCATCTTTTGATTGGATATTCTGCGACCTCCTCGTTTGAAGTTGATATTGAGATCAGGATCGATCGAAGACTCCTCTTCCATTACTTTCCCAGAGCATATGCTAATGTAAGAACTTGATAAATGGCCCAAGCAAAGAACCAGAGCAGATTCATCCATAAAGCTCCATTTTCTCTTTCTTCCCTTGGAAAATGAAGAGCTTGGCACACCAGGTGAATAAAGATCTGGGGCTCCAACGACGGCATAATCAACAAATTTGCCCAGACCTTTTGACATAGTGGCCATAGTAGTAGCAAAGCCAGGGCTCATCCATGTACCACAAACTCACACCTTGACCCCAAACCCAGTAACAGCGAAGAAAAGAAAAGAAAAGAACAACTTTGCAGGTTGCAGAACTTCTAAAGATTAAGACAAGAAACTAATAAAGAATGACGAAATCAGAACTTCAAAAGATGGGGCGAAAGCCACCACTAACAACCAATGCATTCTGGCAATCCATTCGAAGAGCTAAGGTTGTGATCTGAGCACATCACCAGCTACAGGACATCAATTGATGAATATTTACATCTGTTGCCGATCAATTTTTCAACTAGACATCCTGTTCAAAGCAATTGAAAATTCATTATGCGGCGATACCTTGCCAAATGAAATAACCATATTTAAATCCAAATAGGGAATCCTGCCAGCAGATTAGAGTGCTCGACATCTAGCAACACAGCTATATATGCATTGAATAGAACAATTATTGATATGACCTTCACAATTACAGCATGGTGAACAAACCATACATGCACGTGCATAATAAAAACTAAAAAAATGAGGAAATTTACAAAGAACAATGAGGTTTTAATTCGAATGAATGCATATTTATGTTTTCAATAACTCACTTTCTAATTGAAATTGCACGCGTAGTGGCATCACAAGAAAAAAATTAATCTCATCCCAAAAACATTTTCACAGGAGATGAATTAAAAACAATCCTCCTGCCTCTCATAACTCTGCTTAGGAATCTTTATTATGACTTAAGCAAAGCCATTATACAGTATCAAAGAACAAGTGATTGCATCATCTTCCATCGTAGCACTGCATTTAATAATTTAGTCTCGCAAAAAATATAAGGATGCTTAAACCTTCAAATTACTGTTTGCATATATATGCAAATGAAGTAAACATGGAATCCTTTCCTCTACCTGAATTTACACCACAATCAATTGTTCAAATTCCATAGATCGGCAATTAAGTGATATATGACGTGTCATCCATGTGTCTGAGCATTCAAGGAAAGAGAGAGAAAGTAAGAGGGTGCTAACGTTGTAGATCCTCAATATTTTAAATCGCTGATGCTATCTGCCCAAATAAGACAATGGATACCGCATAATTTCAGACAATGACATTAACTGTGAGTTATGACTCGTTATTAAAACCATGGGCCGAAAGCTTCTCGACAATCTAGAGTTCGAATTTAGGTGAGAAGACATCACCAAGAAGGCAAAACACTCATTAAGCTATATTGTAGAAAACCAAATGTCTAGAAATTCTTGGTAAGAAAAAACTTCATCAAAGATATGTGCATTAAACCATGTTCTATACTCTACCGCCAAAGTACCTCATTTCTTCACTCCACCACAGCACCACTAGAGTGCCTCATCAAACACACTGATTGCTTTCTTCACAAGGTAGACTATACAGTACTATACAATACTACCAAAAAAAAAAAAAAAAATTAAGAAGAAGTTAAAATCTTATCCATTGAAATGATGATCTTGTCTAACACAGTACCAAACATACCCTCGATGGTTATTAACATATAATAGATGGAGTTCGTTCAATAACTTCACTTGATCAACAATATTAACTTACAAAGCATCAATTCTGAAATGAGAAGATAATGAACTTCTATCTAAAACTACGAATAAATGTAACCTCAGTGGGGACCCAAAAAAAAAAAAAAAATAAAAAAAAAAAAAAAAAAAAAAAAAAAGAATGCAGAACTTAATTATTGGCTAATTAATCCAGCAGCATTGATATTTCTTTCTTTCCATTAATTTTTTAAACTTCATAAGGAAAAAAGGAAACACGACGCATAAAAGTAAGATCTTAAATACCCCGGAAACTATTGAATTACATATTTATAATTAAAATTTTAATTTCCTCCAGAATTATAGAATTGATGTGCACATTAGCATATAGTGCATTGATAAATGCTGGGGATTTGGGGTTCCAGACAACGCTAATGAGCTTTTGTGCGTGTGTGCAAGAGAGAGACAAGACCAACGGGGAAAATGAGTGGGAAACAAATAGTGAGATTGCATGTGCATGTTAAGAAACTGGCGCACACGCAGTGGTGCATCGGTGACACTCCACGTGCCGGCTCAGGTTCCATTCGTGCAGCCTTGGCATTCAAAATCTGCGAAAATAAAATTCAACCCATTTGAATTTTTTTGGTTTTTTATCGAGGGGTGAGTAACTTTTTTTTTTTTGGATAGGTATCGACGGGTGAGTAACTCAGTGAGGGTGGATTCCTGACCTCTGAGTCTGGATGTGACCAACTTGCCAACAAGCCTGCATCCATTCTCCTCCATGTGCACGTTACTAAGCACTTGAAATGCACACATTAGGGGTGTGTTTTGCGTGGGTAGTCACTAACAATTAAAAAGGAATCAGACGATTGTGTAAGGAACACACCTCTTGAGACAAAGTCCCAAAAAGGGGTGCTTTATTGGCGATGATTTACAATTGGAACTAAACAGAATGCCTCCAAGGGGCGCAAGCACACGAGTACTAAAAAAAATGTTTAAGTTTAAACTAAGAAATTGAAATTACATATTCTCTATTTGAGAGTATTTGATTCAGGATCTTTTTCTCTATGTCTTCTCTTCTTTTTATATTCCTTTGATAATTTTTTTGTGACAAACCGGTTGGAAACTGCTTGATTGCTGTATAACTACCCATTTTCTTTATGGTGGCTAACTTGTCGTGGAACTGCCGTCCCTAATTGTTGCCATTACTTTTTGACGTTCAACCGCCTTCAACTGGGCTCCTTGAATCGTGGGATGTGATAAGATCACTCAATAACTGCTTCAATAATTGCTATTCTGGATAACCATAATGTTTTATGCTTGCTAAGATGTTGGGCGATTCGAAGGTTTGGGCGAGAACGGGGTCATTGCTCTGAGCGACCGTAAGGTATTCTATTCGCTCAGATTTTGGACGTTTTGCAAACTTGGACGATGATGTTACCGTATTCGTGGGCTTCCACTGCATTCATCAATAATCCTATTTGGACCTTTATCCTGGATTCCCTAATTGGGTTTCACCATTTGGGCTATTTGATTTTGGCTGCACTTTTAGTGTATCAACAATTACCCCCAATATGGCAAAATTAATGCTAATTATTAATTTTTGCCATATTCACTTTGTATTTTCCAACAATATTTGAAATTCCCAAGAATTTCAATCATTATTTCCTTCTACAGTCTGAAAAAGTGTAACGTTACAAACCCTTATAAACCAAAAGGACACGCCATTTCATCGCACCACTAAACCACATCTCCATATTTCGCGCTTCTTCCTTGCTATTTTACTGTTCATCTTCTTGATTTTCTGCTACGTTTCTCAAGCAAACCTTATCAAAACTATACTTTGTTTCCAATGGCGACTTCACAAACTCTATCTGATGATTCTTTTAGTTTTGAAGATTTCCAGAAAATCCTTACTAGGCCATATGTGAATCCAAACTTCCTTACACAAGCTAGTGCTGACCTCAATGAATTCTATTTGGGTCCACCGTTCAATAATGCCGAAGCCGTCGGACAAGTGGCGATGGGCCAGCTGTTCCCTTGCACCTAAGGTCCTCCGTTCCTGAACTCTCTGCCATTGAGGCCGATTCGCGAAAAGGGTATTCGAACTTGGCCTAAAACTGATGTTATTTTTCGTAGATGGCATGCACGTCTTGTGAGTCATAACCCCACCAAGGCGATTTTTGATCGTGCTAGGATTTCAGATTTATTAGAAATTTCTCTTCAACCCTCGATTTTTGACCCAGTGCTTTTTCCTATTGCTTTGAGTTTTTTGTCTTCTGAGTATAACACCTTCGTTTTCCCTCTTGGTCCCATGTTTATTACTTTAAGAGATGTTGGAGCCCTAGCAAATCTTCCATCTTTGGGCGATACCATCTTTCCTGGTATCTTGATTTCCAGTGTTGCCCCTAAATTTGACAAGAAACTTACTGAGTCCTATTCAAGCCTGCAAGGCTTTTATAATTACACAAGCGTTGAACCTTCCCATGCTGAGCGTGTAGCCTTTCTTCAAATTTGGCTCTGTAAATATATTCTTTGCATACCAAGTATGAAACCTTCTATGAGTTACTTACCCATAGCGCACGAATTGGTGCGTGGTAAGCCTTTGAATTTATGTTCTTTCTTTTTAGCCGCCCTTTATAGATGTATGGCTTCCCTCCAGTTTCAACTGAAGAATGGTGCATCTCCCACTTGCAGTGGCCCCCTTTGGTTCATTCAACTGTGGTTGAGAGCATATTTTCCACCACTTGGTGCTCTATCCATTTCTAGTCGTTCTGCTAGCTGCTATGGGCTAGCCATTGATCCACTGACCCCTGTAAATATGTCCAGTAGGGACATTTTTTCATTCTTTTATACCTTAAATTCGACTCTTTCCTTCTTTCCTTTTCCTGCTCATTTGACTCCAGATTATGTGTAACCTCCAGCCACCCTATACAGTGCGAGTGCCTCTCTGCTTGTTTGGGTTCAGTTTTTGATTGGGAGGAAATTGTTCCACGATATCTTAACTGGAACCAGCGCCAAAGCTGGGGTTGAAATATATGCTCCTCAATTTTTTGCTCGCTAACTTAGTTTTGGCCAAACTTGGCCTGTTCCTCCCTGTTACTCCAAAAATTTGACAGACCGTTTTCACACAATTAATAAGATAGAGGCACAAGTTATAGATGCTCGCAACATTTTTTTGACGAGTAAATTTTCATTAGCCCCTTTCAATTCTAGCCGTGCTGTCCATCCTCTTTTTGAACAGCTTTGACCATCAGTAACACGCCGATTGTTTGCAACTGATGCTAATCATGCCTTCCATTTATTGGACCAGCCAGGCACTCCCTCTACTTCTCCCATTTTGGTTACCCCTGTGTCCATTAGGAATCCTTCCTCCCCTGCTCGTGCTAAACATTCTATCCATCCATCTGCTTCTCTACCTGCCAAGGCTACTGCAGCTAAAAGTGCCTTAAGCCGCAAACGGCCAGCTTCAGCATCTCCCATTTTGCAGGATGATGATGATGATGATGATGATGACGCTCCTTTCATCGTTAGGAGAAAGGTAATTGAATTTGTTTATTCCTAAACATACTTTTTTATGTACTAATGGTTTACCTGAATTTCTCAGAAAAGTTCAGCCTCTCCTTCGAAGGCTTTGGTTTTGACAGCTCCTGCTCAATCATCTTCTGCTGAAGCTGCTTCGTCCAAATCAGCTGATGAATGTATTATACTTAAAGAGAAACCTTTAATCCCAGAACCTTCATCACAACTAGTAGAAGGGCCACCTTCTTCCCAGGGCGCCGACCCCCCAAACGTCGAA